TGTTTGTTTTTTTTTTTTTTTTTTTTGGTCTATCTCGGGGGATCTAGGAAAAGCCTGAGGTGTCCGGAGGCGGTCCCCAGGTGGGGCAGGAAACAGCCAGGTGCGGGGGTGGGGTGGGCGGTGGGGTAGGACGGAGGGGAGCCCCGAGGGAAGGCAGAAACCGACACCCAGGAGGGAAAGGCTGAGGAATGTGGGTGGGGATGGGGTGGGCCTCAACAGGCCAGTCCGGGAGGGGCCCAGGGCCCTAGGCAGCCCCCTCACTCACTCCGGAGCGAGACCCCGGCTTCCCGGAAAAACACCACCCCCAGCTGGGCGGGGAGAAGGACCACTGCCTCCAGGCCGCCCAATCAGATGCACTCCCGGTCTGATGGAGGAGGCAGCCAGGGCGGAGGGCTCCCAGGGCCTTCCCGGAGGAGCCCCGGGGACCTACCCCGGATTCGGCGGCCCCCCCCCGCCCCCCGCCCCCCGCCCCCCCCCAGCCTCATTAGCACCGACGCCCGCCGTCCTCCCCTCAGCTTCCGGTGGCTCCAGAATTTAAAGGTTAAATCCTAACCTCATCTGAGCAGTTTCTCCCGGCTTTGCCTACCCAGCGCCAGTTGCTGGTAATTATATGCATCTCCGAGCAGCCAATCAGCTGTCAGACTGACAGATACTGATCTTTTCGTTTTATTTTTAGCTCTGTGCTTCCCCCTCTAGTTGCAAAAAAAAATTCTGTTTGTTCTGTGTGCTGCTGCCTGGCTCCCAGCTCTGCAGCCGGCTCTCATCTCCGCCAGCCGGGCGGGAGCAGGAAGCCGCAGGGGCTGGAGCCTCCTGTCCTTCCAGAAAGGGGGGAACAAAACACACCGGCTACCCCCCAGCGGCGGACCCCGGGCTGCGGTGGGGAAGGGAGGAGGCCGGGTGCTGGGCGCACCGGCGCCCTCGGAGGCTGGGGGGGCAGGAGAGGCGCTGCACTTGGCCTGTGGCCTTGCACGGAAGAAAGCAAGTCCTTCCCCACGGGCTGGGGGCTAGCAGAGAGGCAGAGACACAGCCAGAAAGAGGGGAGTGGAAGAGAAGAGACAAGCTCAAGCCCCCTGGAAAGGCTTTTCCCCCAGAACTGAACAGAAGTAGGGGGCAGGAGTGGCTGCCAGCCCGGGGAGCACTGGAATGGGAGTCAGCGCAGGGCTCAGGCAGGGGGGGTGGGGGGGACCTGGGCCACCTGTCCTAGGCCTGCGTGCCTCCTCGGCCACCTGAGGGGCCAGTGCAGCGCTCTTCAGAATCTATTTGTGGGTCTTTCTGGAAGGTTCTGTGGACCTCCCTGAAAACACCAGGAGGCTGGCAATTGTAGGCCGGCCAGCAGGAGGCTCCTGTTCACAGGGGGTCTCTGGAAGGAGAGAAGGAATCTGAAGGCCAGGCCAGGCAAGCTCTTAGGTCCCAGAGTCTCCCCCACAGTCAGGGGCCCTGCTCCAAGGGAGTAGCCAGTGCTACAGAGGGATGGAAAGGATTGTGATGTTTCCTTCCCTGTCCTGGCACTCTACAGTTTGCTGAACACTTCCTCGCCCCAGGGGCCTCCCTTCCTTCCCCCTAGTTAGCCTCAGGATGCCGTGACACAGGGGTCAGGGGGCCTGGTGAAGATCACCTCTGCTCTGATTGGTCTGTGGGGGGGGGGGGGGGGGGGGGGGGCCAGTGGAGCCTGATGGTTAGAGCTTTGGGGCACATCACTCAAGTTCAAACCCCAGGGCTGCCATTTAGCAGCCCTGTGAGCCTGAGTGAATGCCCCCAAGCTCTCTGGGTCCCAGCATCCCCATCGGGAAGTGGAGGGGGGGTGCCCAGTGCCACCCCCCTACCTCACAGGATTGCTCTGGGGACGGAGTCACACTGTAGGGTGCTCCCCACGGCCCTGGCGTGCGGGGGGGCCCAGCACGCTCGTGAACAGGTATTATTAGCGTCTCTGTTGTGCGGATGGGGAAACTGAGGTTCATGTGACTCATAATTGGCAGAACTGGGACTAGAATCCGCCCCCTGCCCCCCACCTTGGCTTCCTTTTCTCTGACACCACAGATGGCACGCTGAGAAAAAAGAGAAAGGAGAGTGGGAGAAGGGAATTAGGAGCCCGGGAGAGACGGAAGGGAGGCAGCGGCACCGTGATCAATTACTTGGGCTATAAATTTCTGCTGTTTTGCAAAGTGAGCACACAACCTCGGAGAAGCGTCGCTCGCTGGGTCTGCTCACGAGAAACCGAGCAGCCAGGCCCACGGCAGACGCAAACGATGGTGGGAGCCAGAGAGGGAGAGGACACGAGCTCCAGGGTGGGGTCAAACTGGCTGGCGGCGTGGGCCGAGGGCAAGGACCCCAGGAAAGGAGTGAAGCAGGGGAGAGGCACCAGAGCGCAGGCAGGCGTGGGAGCTGCCCCGCGGGGGTCCCCTTGCGGGGGGGGGGGGGGGGGGCGGCGGGTCAACCTCCTCCTCTTTCCCGAAGCTTCAGCTTCGTCTCCCCCGCTGGGCTGCCCCAGCTACTATAGTGTGCCTGCCTGGCCAGCCCCCCCTGCCAGGCTTTGGCCATCGGTCCTGGGGCCGACTGGGCCGGTGGCTCAGGTGGCTCACGGAACATCAGCTTCCTCATCTGTAAATGGCGATCGTGTGGCATTCGTCCTGTCCCCGGGATTAAAGCTGCTCTGTTGATGAGAAAAGTAACAGAGGGCAGAGGTAGTTTGGAGGCGGGTCCTCTGAAGTATGGAAAAGATGGGGCCAGTCCTCTCACTCGGTGGAAAGGGGTGCCCGCAGTGGGGATGTAACCGGCGCAGACCTGTCTCTCAGTCTCCCAGCATGTAGGGACCAAGGGGCGGGGGGTGGGCTGGGGGTGCACTTTGTGCTTGGGAAATGGGCCCAGATTCCTGGCCTCCACCTTCCTGGAACCTTGCCACCGTCCATTTAGGAAAGGAGCCATGGGCGGAGTCCAGCCAGTCCCTCTGGAATCTCTCTCAGGCCTTCCACACTGTGGAACTGCAAAGACCACAGCGGCCTTGCAGAAGGACCGACCCCCCCCCCCCCCCCCAGCCGCAGGCTGGTCTTCTGTTGGGCCTGAGGAAATTCAGCAGGGAAGCATCCGGGCCCTGTAGAGACATCCTGAAATGAGCGAGGCTGGGATGGAGGGGCCTGAGGGCGAGGGGCAAAGCCCGCATGGGCGGTGAATCAGGGTCCTGGAGAAGATGCCTTGAGTTCAAGGGAGCACGAGGCCCCGGGCCAGCGATGGATACTCTCCAGCCCTGGGGATTCCGGGCTGAAGGCAGTGGAGAAGCTTGCTATGTTAAAGGAAATTTAAGATGGAACAGAAGGGGCCCCTGGGTGGCCCAAGTCGATTGAGCCTCGGACTCTTTTTTTTTTTTTTTTTAATTTTTTAAATGTATATTTACTTTTGAGAGAAAGAGAGAGACAGAGGGCAAGTGGGGGAGGAGCAGAGAGTGAAGGAGACACAGAATCGGAAGCAGGCTCCAGGCTCTGAGTTGTCAGTACAGAGCCTGACGTGGGGCTCGAACCCACGGACCGCGAGATCAGGACCTCAGCTGAAGTCAGACGCTTCACCAACTGAGCGCCCCAGACGCCCCGAGCCTTAGACTGTTGATTTCAGCTCAGGTCATGATCCCAGGGTTGTGGGAACGAGCCCCGTGTCAGGCTCTGCGCTGAGTGTGGAGTCTGCTTAAGATTCTCTCTCTCTTGGGGCGCCTGGGTGGCGCAGTCGGTTAAGCGTCCGGCTTCAGCCAGGTCACGATCTCGCGGTCCGTGAGTTCGAGCCCTGCGTCGGGCTCTGGGCTGATGGCTCAGAGCCTGGAGCCTGTTTCCGATTCTGTGTCTCCCTCTCTCTCTGCCCCTCCCCCGTTCATGCTCTGTCTCTCTCTGTCCCAAAAATAAATAAAAACGTTGAAAAAAAAAGCTCTCTCTCTCTCTCTGCCCCTCTCCCCGCCTTGCACACTCTCTAAATAAATAAATAAGTAAATAAATAAATAAAATGAAGAGAAGATCCTCTGGATGAGGATCATAAAAATGTTGTATTAGGATGAGCTAACAGATATAACAAACAGCTCCGAAATACGTTTTTTCTTGCTTACGGGGAAAAACTCTGCTCACTCAGGGGCCCAGGCTCCTTCATTTTCTGTCTCATCATTTTCTAGGGCCTTAGTCTCCTCTGCAATAGTCTTGTGGAAGGGGAAGGAGAGAGTGTGGAGGATGGCATAGGAGGAATTTTATGTGGCGGGAAGCATAATACTTCAACTCGCCCGCTATTGGCCAGAGCTTAGTCATGTGGCCACAACTGACTGCAAGGGAGGCTGGGAAATGTAGTCCGGCCGCATGCCCAAGAGGAAAATAGCGAACCAGGGTTTGGTGGAGACACAGCAGTCCCCACCACAAATGCTGTCCTGTTTAGGGGGATGAACTGGTGCCCACAGAGCACCCACTTGTGGGGCTCGGCCACTGACTTGTGCCAAAGCTGGTTATTTGTCCTAGAAGTCCAGATGCTGTTCTTCTGAGGGTCACCCTGCTCCGGAAACTGCATTAAAACGTGTGTGTGTGTGTGTGTGTGTGTGTGTGTGTGTGTGTATGAGAGAGACAGATGGAGACAGAGACAGAGGGAGAGAGAGAAAGAGAAGAAACATAGATGGAGAGATCTTTCTGGTCTAGGGGGAGCATCCAAAGTTTTCACCAGATTCTTGGGGCACCTGCATGGCTCAGTCAGTTAAGCGACTGACTGCAGCTCAGGTCACGATCTCACAGTCTGTGAGTTTGAGCCCCGTGTCGGGCTCTGTGTTGACGGCTCGGAGCCTGGAGCCTGCTTCTGATTCTGTGTCTCCCTCCCTCTCTCTCTCTCTCTTTCTCTGTCCCTCCCCTGCTTGTGTGCTCCCTCTCTCTCTCTCTCTCAAAAGTAAATAAACATTAAAAATTTTTTTTCACAGCCTTCACCAGATTCTCAAAACTCTGAGACATCATGGCTTAAAGAGAGATGGGCCACTCGGGCATTAAAGCAGCAGCTTAGCTGTGCAAAGCTGACTTTATTTGGGACTTAGCAGGGCCCGGGGACCGGATACATTGATCCTTCCGGCCTCACGCCACACAGCAGGAGGTCGAACCAAGGATTCCCCAACTACCATCTCCCCTCCCCCAAGCATGCCCCAGAGAGCCCAAGGTCACCTCAGCTGATCCATGACAGCAGCCAAGGGTCATGGGATATCAGCGGTGGAGCCCAGCTTGGATAGGCGGGTGGAGAAACTGAGGCTCAGGGAGCGGCCATCTTGTCCAGGGTCACACAGTGAGTTTGGGGCAGGGCCATTGGATTACAGTCCGTCGGGTTTCTGTGGTTGTAAGTGACAGAAACGGGCTGTGTCGCCCTTGAGCAGAAAAGTGCCCCATTGCCAGACTGAGGAGGAGGTCAGAACGGAAAGAAACTTGGGAGAGGCAGGCAGTCCCCAGTGGGGACAATCAGGGGAGACCCAGTGACCACCCTCAGGGACTGGCCGCCAGGATGAGGAATGAGCCCCCCCCCCAGTCCTGAGGTGGGGGAGGGCTAACGACCTAGCCAGGACTACAGGCCCCGCCCACTGGCAAGGGTGGGGGACAGGGGTCCTGGGGGGGG